GTGGTTCTCTAGAATGGACTGACAGGGTTCTCTAGAATGGGCTGCAAGGGTTCTCTAAAACTGTCTGCATGGGTTCTCTAGAATGGACCGTGTCGGTCCTCTAGAATGGACCTTGTGGGTTCTCTAGAATGGGCTGCATGGGTTCTCTAGAATGGACCGTGTGGGTTCTCTAGAATAGGCTGCAAGGGTTCTCTACTATGTCATGCAAGATTTCTCTGTATCTTTGTTCAAAGCTGTGGTTGACAGTACCATATGCATATCTAAGAATTTGAAGATGATGATAAATATGTATACATACAGTGTCGCTTTGTATTTCTTCCAAATTAAGCTGATGTGACATTTTTGTAACCAAACTACTTCTTAAAGTATTATGATATCAAACATGTAATGACCAGACAGTCAAATTGTATTGAAAACAGACTTGACATCTCCCATATACCCGTAGCATTAGCAATTATCACCATGGAGCACATAATATATTTTAAAGCTGATTAAACTGAGTTTTGACACAAACAGTATTTGCATAAAAAAGGTGTTTGTTCCCCAATGCTGCTCAGCTTTACTCCGGCCAATATGACGGCAAACACCCTGTAGTTCTGACCCCCATAATGTCAATTCTATTCAAACTGAAATGTAAATGTTAGTACTTCACCAACCTTGCCAGAATCACTATTTGGTTTTGAAACAACCGGGGGCTTGGATACCAGCCTACATTGGGGATAACGCAGACACCAGTTGATTTGGGTGACCTTGACCTTATCTTCAAGGTCACCGCAACACTTGAACCACTTTTCAAACTAATTTAAACGCGATATCTCATAAAACATTGCACCCAATGTCTTCAGTTATGTCGACAACCTACATTGGGTGATTATGCAGACACCAGGCATTTCAGGCATCTTGTATGTAACCAAAATATAAAAAGTAGTAAATATGTTATAAATATTTCATTCTTTAGTGGCGGGGGACATTGCCATATTAGTGGCAAACACTTGTTATTGTCATGTTTCACTACAATACTTGGATATCTTTTCAGTGAAATGCCTGTATCGGTATTGGTTATGTGTTTATTATAATGAATATACCGATTTCAACCAAGGGACATGGCACTTTGCTTGTATGTCATAAATATTTGCAAATGGTAGTGAAGTTCAAATTCCTTTTCAAAGTAACTCCATATTATATTATGTTTATGACTGATCAGAACAGTTTATTCCCATAAGATGCAGATGTAATTTTTGAGGGATGCAATTTAAGATATTGAGTAACCTTCATTAAAGGTCAAGGTCGTGTGAAAGATGTTTCATAAGGCAGTTCAATTACTGCTGAAGTGACAGTTGATAGTAAGGTGTGTTAGTATGAGGTAGCACTTTTTCCAGCCAGAAATAATAAAAAATGTGTCTAATATTTGGCCATGGTCATTTCATTAGAATGTAGTATGTAGACTTATTCAGATAGAAAGAGTCATGTAACTGTTGAAAAGATGCACTGGTTAATTTTTCCCAATCTTGAAGTTAAGTTACAGATAAACAGATGCTTATAACTCTCATATGGCCCAAGTTTGAGGTGCAGCACTTTCTCTGTAAGAGGTGTCTTTTTGTGTTTCTCCTGGAACAGAAGTTTCCATAACTTTCTCATTATGGTAGCCAACAGTACAGGCTTCTTTTGTTCGACTTTCTGTATAGGGCAAGTGCTTCCCAAGAAGAGAAGTCATCATATTGAAAGTGAGGTCATTAGAAAAGTATTTCAGTTCCTGGCCATGTATTAACTGATGTGATGATGTGAGGCTCAAGGAATGTAAGTTACAAACTACAGCTACTGACACCACATTGGTGGTACGATTACCGAGGTACCCTAAAATGTTGGCTGTTGCAAGTACATGGTAAAAACTGTTCTTAAGACAAGAATTATAAGGGTCAAAGGGTCCGCGTTAAGTCACTGGCCTTGACAAAGATATGCTGTTTCTTTATGTAATACGTACATGGTTGCACCTGATTTTCAGAAAAGCAGTGTTCCATTAGAAAATGGTCAAACGTATTTTCAACCGAACATGTTGAAATAATGTTATCATCTTTATCTTATTTCATAATTTATGTTCACGTGCTACATTTCATTTAAGAGAGTAATATCCCCAGACGCAGAAAATAGGTCATTCACTGCGTTATTGAACATATGAGGAATATTGCTGTTACATGATGACAACATTTACACCTAAGCAAATGAGCCTCGCAGCTCCATATCTGGACATATCTCAGTTGGAGTGAACAAAGATAATCTGAAGTATTATGGGTAGGTTTAATTTTAATGATTGGCTGGTTATATTCAGATAATGAGTGAGTTTTAGTTTTACGCCATATTGCAGCAATATCACGGCAGGGAACACCAGACATGGGCTTCACACATGGACTGTACCCATGTGGGAACTGGAACCCGGGTTTTCGGCGTGACGAGCGAACGCTTTAACAACTAGGCTACCCCACTGCCCATATTCAGAAAGACGCAGTGGCTTTATAATCAGAATGTTGGGCAGTAGGTTTAATTATAAAGATTAGCAGTGGGTTTGATTTTGATGATTGGTGGTAGGTTGTAATCAGAAAGATGTATGGTAGGTTTACGCAGATAGATTGCCAGTAGTTCTAATGTTTACGATATAAGTAGGTTTCAAACATGATCTAATTTAATAATAATGAAAATAATAATGCTATGATCAAGTGTAAATACCAAATCATTTATCGGGTTGTCTACTCTGGATTAGGATTTCATGAATGTAATTTACTGTTAATATTGTCAGAATGTTTATTTGGATTCTGTTATCATGATTTTTTCATGAATAAAACTGTGTCACAATAGCTTGTGAAGTATTGGTTGTATTTCTGTTTCACTGATGGGGTCTTAGAATGTGTGTGATTGGGTTCAATCCAGGCAAATCATCGGACATCGGACACCTTGTCCACAATACCAAAGAAGTCTGCAACCCTTCTGTGGGGTGGGTCCTTGCCTTGCTACACACAGTCGTTTCAGTAGAAGACACATTCTTAGATGCATTGACCGGTAAAGGAGTGTCAGCGCTTTTATCATGCACCATCATGACTTCAAGACCACCAGCATGGACGTACAACAAACCCAATCTACAGTGATATGTGAAAATAGCAGAGGTTTGTTGTTGAATGTGTGAATTTTTTTTATGAAACTGTAATCACGGAATATTCGGGGGGGGGGGGGGAATTCATGGAAGTTGACACATCTTGATAAGACCCGTGAAGATGAGGGTTAGAATTTAGAATTAATTCTTAATTATTTGGTGTTCAGTAACCCATTCTTGTCATAAGAGGCGACTGGTGGAGTCGGGTGGTCAGGCTTGCTGACTTAGTTGACACATGTCATCGGATCCCAATTGCATAGACTGATGCTGATCACTTTATTGTCTGGTCCAGACTCGATTATTTACAGACCGCCCCCATATAGCTGGAATACTGCTGAGTGCGGCGTTAAACAACAAACAAAAACATCTTGATAACAATGTTATTGAAAGACATTTTAGGTACATGAGGCAAATGTCCGATACAAGAAATGACTCTTGCGAAACATAGTATTTGAACCCCATGTTCTTGCCTGCAGTTGGACACAACCTTTGTGGCTTATAGTCCGGTTAACATTGTTTCACTGTATTCACATTATCAAGATACGTGCGAACCATCAAAGGAACAGCATGTTAGGTATCATCAAGTTACACATGTAAATACAGCTGGTTCAATTCGGATGCATGGTTTGTAATTTGCCATTGCAATTATCCAATGGGCACCAGGTGTCACAAGATCAATCGGTACGTCCAAATCCAAATAAAGGTTAGGACATTAATCACTTTAAACACATGTTCCTCGGTGTCAGCTGAACTTATTAGGGCCAGATGTAAGTCTATATCTCATCGGAGGGAATCCATCACAATTGATAAACCAGTGGTTGAAATTCTGAGCAACATACTTCGCCATCTCATGATTGTCTACCAAAGGAACTTAAAGGGAAGAAATTTGATATCGATGCCTCTGAGATCAGAGATCGTGTTTTGGTTACACGGTGAAATTACACCGAATATTTTCGAAGACTTTCTCCAAAAAACTTAAATATGGAATGATCAAATAGAGTATCCTAATATAATCAATACATTTATCCACCACTGGCGCTTATTTCTTTTACCTAGATTGATGTTTTTAAACACGTTTGACCAACTATAACAACTCTACGCATATAGCTTCTTACCGGTGAAGATCCGGGCTACCATTTGTCTTCAGCAACCCATGGTTGTCGTGACGGGATATATATCTAAAACGTTACAAAAGAAGTAGGAATTATAGAAAAATAACATTTGTTTGTTGTTTAACGCCGCACTCAGCACTTATCGAGCTAAATGACAGTGATCTGTAAATAGTTTGGACCAGGCAATCAAGTGATTGACGTCAAGATCATCGATCTATGTCTTTGGGATACCATGAAGTGCTTCAACCATGTCAGGGAGTCTGACCACCAATCCCTTTACTGACCTCTGACGACAAGCATGTCAGCGGGTCTGACCACCAATCCCTTTACTGACCTCTGACGACAAGCATGTCAGCGGGTCTGACCACCAATCCCTTTACTGACCTCTGACGACAAGCATGTCAGCGGGTCTGACCACCAATCCCTTTACTGACCTCTGAAGACAAGCATGGGTTACTGTAAAAATTCTAACCCGGATGTTCACGAAAATAGCAAATGGTTACAAAAGTACAGGTCAAATGATATACTGGAGGGACAAGGTGTTGCATGATAATTAACATAGCATATTGGCTGCTGCTGTGTCGGGCATGTTTAGACATATCATAATTCAGTCAAACCAATTACTTTACGGCCTTGTGATTAAACAGGTGTTCAATCCTGAAGAATCCAATCAACCCATGACACCGATAGCAGTATATATGAAGCAGTCCTGATTTAACAACACTTCCAACCTGCGTAAGACAAGGATGTGGTCTGTCAGCGTGTTTCTCCTGGCTTGTGTTGCAGGTGAGTGTCTTCTGACATGTGTACAACTGTTTAAACACCATACAGCGTGTTTCATTATGAGTGTGAGTGTGAAGAATAGTATGTAACATGTTATATATCATATTACATAAGAAGACATTTGATGCCAAATCTTTCAAACACTCTGCTGCTGTGCCATGGAACTCTCTTCAACTTTACCTCAGATGCGCTCATTCCTTGACTACCTTTTAATCTGGTCTAAAGACTCATCTTTTTTCATTATCACTGATACTTGTTCATCGTTTTAACTGAATGAGCATAGAACAAGTGTCATTATTGATTTGAGAAATTGGCTTGTCGTTTTCAAGAATATTGCACTAACATAGCGACGTGCAGTATGTTGTGGGTGTTTGTACTAATGGGGACTTGAGTGGTACAGACAAAGACTACTTACATGTCATGCCAATGCGAAATCTAAACTAATGACTTGCGATTATTGCACGGGTGTCTCTCAGATATCATTTATGTAACAAAGAGTTTAATGTGGACCGATATTATAAACTGATACCAATCTTTGCGTTAAAATGTTTGTCCAAATCACGCTTCTCTCATCCAAATCACGTTGACGCCTTTATAAGGGCCCATTCCAGAGGGAAGAACGCCCGTTCCCATGACGCCATTAGCTCAGTAGGGTTACTTTCTGACAATGCGATGATGGGTAGGCCGCCGTTTTTTTGTCAATGACTTTAACACTGGTTGAAAGTGGACTCGAACTCTTATAATATCATCTAAGTTTTGACGTCATTTGGTTCACAAACTGGTGTGGTATGTAAGGTTGACTGGCTTCTTAAGTGTATAGGAGTGTACAGCACCTGAGATGGCAAACACCCACCAGCTCGCGAGTTGTGCACAGCCGTCAAATCAGCTCGCAGACATTATGTACAATCGGTACCATTATGAAGAATATTTATTCCGTTTCAGTCCCATGCACAGCTTACAAACAGAAGAGGATCATCGGGGGATCCAGCGCCACCTCTGCCGAGTTCCCATATATGGGAAGTTTACAGGAGTTTATAGATGGTGAATGGGAACACATTTGCGGTTGCATGGCATACACCACTACAAAGGCACTAACAGCAGCACACTGCTTAGACAATGCGTACGTATAGATAAACTATCGAACTTTTACATAAATGCAAGATTATTAATAGGCATTGATACTTGAACGAGAATCTCATCAGATGTTAGAAATTATGTTACAATATATATATTTCCAGAAATAGAAAGGCAGGGAATGATTATAAATAATAATGATCACAGTTAGTTTTCTGGATCTTACTACACAAGCAACCACACGCTCAACTTCATCAACGTCATCACTATCCATCGTCAGTGTTAGACAGTGTACTGTTACATCTTTTAGGGTTGGACACGAAAACTCTATGTCATTATACTTTTGTTCAAAACCATTAAAGGGCGGTGGGGTAGCCTAGTGGTTAAAGCGTTGGCTTGTCAGGCCGAAGACCCGGGTTTGATTCCTCACATGGGTACAATGTGTGAAGCCCATTTCTGGTGTCCCCCGCCGTGATATTGCTGGAATATTGCTAAAAGCGGCGTAAAACCATACTTACTCACTCACTTACTCACCCAAAACCATTAATGTTTTTATTTCAGGTCACAGGTGTATCTATTTTAATACATGCGTTTATATTTTTTTTTGGCATCTCAAGGTGTTATTCCGTGTTATTATTTGTTAGTGAGTGAGTGAGTTTGGTTTAACGCTTTTTGGCAATATTCCAGCAATAACCACTCAACAAAAGTATGATGACATAGGAAACTGAATGAGTAGCGGGTGCTACTTCTTGGCGGGACATGTTTACCAACACCTAGTTTCATCATTTACTTTCAGCGATACCCGTGAAGTTCCGGGTTAGAATTGGTCTTCATCAACTCATGCTTGTCGTAACAGGTGACTGACATGATCGGGTGGTCAGGCTCGCTGACTTGGTTGATACATGTCATTGTGTCCCAGTTGCTTAGATCGATGCTCATTATGTTGATCACTGGATTGTCTGGTCCAGGCTCGATTATTTACAGACTGCCACCATGGAGCTGGAATATTGCTGAGTGCGGTGTTAACAACAAACAATACTACCATGCCTATTGCAACGAGCAGATTTTGTTTTGGCAGATAATCGAGTATGAGTACTCTTTGGCACTATAATTTGATATTTGCTCTTAGTATACTATTTACATGTACGATGGTGGTTCTTTTCTTTGAAGGAGTCCATCGGTCTACAGACTGGTATTCGGAACAATTGATATCACGAACAACGAAGCGACCGCTCAGATTTCAGCACTGACTTCATTTACCAAGGTATGTGATTTAGAATGTGTATAGAAAGTGGCTAGAAACCATTCTATATTCTGTGACTTCGATAACAAGTAAATTTTCTTTAGAAGTCATTGAGAAACGTTCAGTCGTGAAACTAACAACATATACACTTCTGGAAAATTTATAAATTATTTTTATAAAAGGTTCACGATGTGACTCATATGCGAACGACAGTGATTGTTTTGTTATTGAACAAATTCTGTTTTAGATCACATTCTCTTTCCCGTTACCATTCCGGTGTATATTTGGTCTTTCATACGTCTTTTCGTTTTGAGATTATTGTTGCGTTTTGCGACACGTCAGAGCGATACATCTAGATCTACAGCGGATTGATTTTTACCAGTGTTTTGTTTGTGCCCATTCAGCATCAAGCGACCATGATGTATTGTGTTCAGAGTAGTGTATAGAGCCATGTAGTCCTAACAATGTTACATCATAGCACCAAGCCACCCTGCTGCATTGTGTTCAATGTCAGAGTAGCGTATAGAGCTACAGAGACCTAACAATGTTACATCAAGGTAATCAAGCCCCCCTGCTGCAATGTGTTCAATGTCAGAGTAGTGTATAGAACCACATAGTCCTAACAATGTTACATCATGGCATCAAGCCCCCCTGCTGCAATGTGTTCAATGTCAGAGTAGTGTATAGAACCACATAGACCTATCAAGCATAGACCTAACAATGTTACAATGTCAAGCCCCCTGCTGCAATGTGTTCATGTCAGAGTAGTGTATAGAACCACATAGACCTAACAATGTTACATCATGGCATCAAGCCCCTTGCAATGTGTTCAATGTCATGTTACATCATGGCATCAATGTGTTCAATGTCAGTAGTGTATAGAGCCACGTAGTATCATGGCAGCTACAGAATGTCAGAGTAGTGTATAGAACCAACCTAACAATGTTACACATAGCAAGCCCCCAATGTTACATCATGGCATCAAGCCACCCTGCAATGTCAGAGTAGTGTATAGAGCCACATAGTCCTAACAATGTTACATCATGGCATCAAGCCCCCCTGCTGCAATGTGTTCAATGTCAGAGTAGTGTATAGAGCCACGTAGTCCTAACAATGTTACATCATGGCATCAAGCCCCCCTGCTGCAATGTGTTCAATGTCAGAGTAGTGTATAGAGACACGTAGTCCTAGCAATGTTACATCATGGCATCAAGCCCCCCTGCTGCAATGTGTTCAATGTCAGAGTAGTGTATAGAGCCACATAGACCTAACAATGTTAGTCCTGCTGCAATGTGTTCAATGTCAGAGTAGTGTATAGAGCCACGTTCAACAATGTCAAGCCCCCTGCTGCAGATAGTGTATAGAGAGCTATGTTACATCATGGCATCAAGCCCCCCTGCTGCAATGTGTTCAATGTCAGAGTAGTGTATAGAGCCACATAGTCCTAACAATGTTACATCATGGCATCAAGCCACCCTGCTGCAATGTGTTCAATGTCAGAGTAGTGTATAGAGACACGTAGTCCTAACAATGTTACATCATAGCATCAAGCCCCCCTGCTAGAATGCGTGCAAAGTCAGAGTAGTGTATAGAGCCACATAGACCTAACAATGTTACATCATGGCATCAAGCCACCCTGCTGCAATGTGTTCTATGATGTGTAGTGGATTTCGTTGTTATGTGTACTTGTTTACTTACAGCACCCTTCCTTCACGTCGTCATCAGTGGGGTTTTCCAGTGACATTGCTGTTTTGCGACTTCAAACAACCCTCGACACATCAAGTGCTAACGTGGGCACTATCTCGCTGTTTTCTGTTCCCTATGACCTTACCAACACAAATTGTACAGTCCTCGGATGGGGTGCACTGTCAAGTACGCCCAATCACATATGATTTCTGAAAACCCACCACCCATCCATACATGTGTCCGTCACACTCACTCTCACTCACTGAAACCCACCGTCCATCCATACATATGTCCGTCACACTCACTCTCATTCACTGAAACCCACCGCCCATCCATACATATGTCCGTCACACTCACTCTCACTCACTGAAACCCACCGTCCATCCATACATATGTCCGTCACACTCACTCTCACTCACTCACTGAAACCCACCGTCCATCCATACGTATGTCCGTCACACTCACTCTCACACACTCACTGAAACCCACCGTCCATCCATACGTATGTCCGTCACCTCATCCACACACTCACATCCATCCATACGTATGTCCGTCACACTCACTCTCACACACTCACTGAAACCCACCGTCCATCCATACATATGTCCGTCACACTCACTCTCACTCACTGAAACCCACCGCCCATCCATACATGTGTCCGTCACACTCACTCTCACTCACTGAAACCCACCGTCCATCCATACATATGTCCGTCACACTCACTCTCATTCACTGAAACCCACCGCCCATCCATACATGTGTCCGTCACACTCACTCTCACTCACTGAAACCCACCGCCCATCCATACATGTGTCTGTCACACTCACTCTCATTCACTGAAACCCACCGTCCATCCATACATATGTCCGTCACACTCACTCTCACTCACTGAAACCCACCGCCCATCCATACATATGTCCGTCACACTACATCACTCTCATGTCCGTCACATACGTATGTCCGTCTCTCACTCTCACACACACTCACTGAAACCCACCGTCCATCCATACGTATGTCCGTCACACTCACTCTCACTCACTCAATGAAACCCACCGTCCATCCATACATATGTCCGTCACACTCACTCTCACTCACTCACTGAAACCCACCGCCCATCCATACATATGTCCGTCACGCTCAATCTCATTCATTGAAACTCACCGTCCATCCATATATATGTCCGTCACACTCACTCTCACAAACTCAATGAAACCCACCGTCCATCCATACATATGTCCGTCACACTCACTCTCACTCACTCACTGAAACCCACCGTCCATCCATACATATGTCCGTCAGACTCACTTTCACTCACTCACTGAAACCCACCGCCCATCCATACATATGTCCGTCACACTCACTTTCACTCACTCACTGAAACCCACCACCCATCCATACATATGTCCATCATACTCACTCTCACTCACTCATTCACCCAAATCCAGTCATGCATTCACCATCCTACCAAGTCATTCACGTTTCACTCTGTCATACTCACTCAGTCACCCATCTATATCCCACAAACTTACTCTCTGACTCTCTCTCTCTCATACACATTCACTCACGTCTTCCCTCACTCACCCCTTCACTCACACAATTACCAACAGAGACACGGATATGGGGGTAGGTAAATACTATGTCTCACGTTGATCGGAAACAGGCACCGAGAACAGTATCTCTTTAATCTGGGCCTGATGATGTATATGAAACCATTATCCATCTTCAATACAGAATTATCCATAATATTCTACCTACAAAACAGTTTTTGTTTAAGATCAAGTATTTATAGACTCTCCCATTTGCAGTTTCTATAAATATAATATTGAATCAATTACCCATCTATTGTGGGACTGTGAAATTGTTCAAGATATCTGGAAAACCTCCAGTCATGGCTCTTAACTGACTTGAATATTCCGTTATATTTAACAAAGCAGAATGTTTTACTTGGAATAAAAGGAAAAAAATAATAATCCAATTAATGCCATAATACTTGTTGTAAAGCAAGTTATCTTTAGACACAGCAGAAATTCAACTGTACCCTTTATCAGTCATGTGAAAAGGGAGATAATTAAGTATTATGACATCACAAGATATGTTTATTCTTCCTCTTGTGGTGACGACAAATTTTTCTCCTTTTGGTCATCTCTTCATACACTTTTCCAGCACTATAGGGAGAGGGATGAATAATTTTGTCAATGTCATCCGTATGTCATATAGATACAAATTGAATGCATATTCCCCTGTACATACATACGTATCTACATACGTACACACATATACATATACATACACACACACACACACACATACATAATTAAATTAAAAATAATTATCCATCTTCAATATATCAAAGTCAGCTGATACAATGCTTATATAACGTATACCCTTGTCTTCAGACGGGGTGCTCCCTGATGTCCTGCAGAGTAAGAATGTGACAGTTACAAGCCAGGCAGCTTGCGACGAGGACTGGTCAGTGCTTGGTGTGACCATCAACAGTGAGACACTCTGTGCAACAGATGAAGGCTTCTCTGAGGTAATGTTTGATACAATGAAATAATACCAAGTTCATTCACATTAGGCTGCATTTACACAGCATAGTCCTTATATTGTTTCATTCTCACACGTTCTATCGATACCCTAAAACAAATAGTTTGGTGCGAAACCAAAAACCGATAAATGTTGCACATTTTACAATATTATTTCTTGTATTCTAAAAGTTGAAAAAAAACCTACACTGAGAGAGCACACGTAGGTGACAGTACACATTCAATGGTTGTCCAGATACACTAGCAATATAATATGACAGCATTGATTATAACAGTAAAGACCGGACATTTGCGTATCAAAAATATATAATCTCGGAATAACGACTTATAACCTCGTTATAACGACTTCAAATCTCGTTATAGTGACTTATAATTTCGTTATAACGACTTACAATCTCGTAATGTCGCTTCCTTTTATTTTAATGCAGTTATGTTACGCTCGGTTTGGCAACATGAAAATACCTTAAGCTTCAGGTATATTGTATCATTCAATGCTGTTCAAATAGTGACCCACATGCGCACAATGTGTGAAGCCCATTTCTGGTGTCCCCCGCCGTGATGTTGCTGGAATATTGCTAAAAGCGGCATAAAACCAAACTCAGTCAGTCAGTCAGTCAGATAGTGAGCTCACCGATTTACCCACCTGTATTAGAAAAGACACAAGTTAACGCCAAGTCCTCATAGGACCCATGATTAAAAATTATTACTTTGATTTTTACATATTGATTCAGAGTGACACTGAAATATCCACAAGATGTATGACTTCAACTGTCTGGTAGGCAGATTCCCCTTAATGCCTATTAGTAGCAATATTTGCAGCGGCGTCAGATCCATAAGGCCGCGTCAATGACAACCATTATACCCGCTCACTCATATGTACCCAATGCCTAGGCTATAATCGGAATCACTCGTTTTCAGATCGACCGAACATGTTTAGCTGGCTGTAAATTGTGTAGGAAAATATCTGAAAGTAAAAAGAACGTAATTGTATATTATGCTCAAAGCTTAACATTAATACCCAAATAGTTAGTTCAAGTGGACTTGAGGTCCTCTTGACCATAACGCTTCTCATTTCGAACTCTAAGTATATAAGTGGTTGGGATTAACATATGCATGTTTTAGCCAGTATTTTATAGTCTTAAAGCCATTTTGGTTAACAGCAATGGGAATTCCTTTGAGAGCCTTAATGTTGAAATGTTTTAAAAACTTTGTTTAAGGTACTCAGCCTTTGCATATAGCACACACGAAAACAACTGATGATTTACCACAAAAAAATACATTTGTAAATATGATATTTACAAAGGTTGTAGTTGTTTGTGAATTGCGGAATGATTTTACCACTACTTCTCTCAGTTTCTCCTGTTTTAATGTGTCTTCGATGTCACTGTCAGAATTGTATGGACTTAGCTATTTCGTGCTACTCTTTTTCTATTTGAGTTCATATTCTACCAATAGATAATGCTTCTTGCATGTGAACAAGCCGTATTTTAATATTATTCATTGATATTAATGCAACTGCACCTGACGCGTGTAGAAATAACATCAATATTGTCTTTCAATGCATTTAGAAAAGCTGGGATCATATTCAATGTATTCATGTACGTGTTGTTCTAGTCGCAGTCCTCTGTGAAACCAACTCTATAACTTATTAGAACTTCACTCAAACTGCATCCTTCTTGTTCTATATGTTTCAAAATTGATATTGGCTATGATAAGAAGATGTTTGTAGTTACTAGTTTTATGGCTAGCATTTCCCAAAATACCGTTTTAAATGTACGTAGCTGTTATCCCCAAAAGCGCAATTATCTATTACCCTTCGTATAGATACAAATTAACACCTGTCACAAGGGACGCAGTGTGTGTGTACGCGCTTGTGTGTGTGATGATGTATATGTGTTATGTGTGAGTGTACAAATGTGTGTAAGTGCGTGTGTTGGGGATCTGGAGTGGTGGATGTCATTGTGTGTGGTAAATGATTAAATATAATTAAATAATGCACCCATAATGATGTTCAGAAAACACGCCCATTTGATATATCTGCACTATGAATATTCTACTTCTCCCATTGTATCTTTATCGATTCATCTTGTGATTCAAAGTTTGAAAATACTTTACGAAAATGTCTAAATGTCTAAACTGTGAACACGACCGTAAAGAAGTGTTCAGCAACGTTAACTTTGAACACTGATCACGTGTACAGACATTTTGGAATAAATTTTTAAACTTTGAATCACAAGATGAATCGATAAATATACAATGGGAGAAGTAGAATATTCATAGTGCAGATATATCATAAGAGTCTTAATTACTTATTTCTTATATTATTATTTCTCGTAAATGCCTTTTCCCGTGTAACAGTGAGACCATGTAAAGTAATGGCTTTAACGGCATTTTTTAAATTAAGCATATAAAGTCAACTGTTCCTTTGCTCATGGTATTCGACTTCACTGGTCGATTTGATTCAGGAAATGGCTGCGGCAGTCATACCCATTGTTTTATGGAAACCATGGTCCGATATTTAGACCTGGTTCAGTGCTTTCACTACTGGTGTTTATAATCTGTTCCAGAGAGACAGCGGCGGGCCACTGGTGTGTATGGAGGCCTTAGCTGGTCTTGTATCCTTTGGGGGGACGTGTGCCGCCACTGTTCTTCCAAACGTCTACACCAGCATCAGTTTCTTCAATTCCTGGATACAAGGTCAATAGAAAACATACTGACCGTGTAGTTTTGTGACGATCAAAGTCTGTCATAACGTTTATGTATAAGCCTAATATCTACATCGGTTTTCGATTGATCAACCAGGAGTTTCAAATCTCAACAACACGATTCTAATGAAAATATCTGATGTTAAGCTTGACCAATTGTCTTGACTCTGTATTCCATGTTTACTTTATTAAAGCGTGTAACCGTTTCCATGTTTTCGCTTATTAGATGCATGAAGAACTAGAGTAACCTTTCAAACAAATGAATGACAAAAGATTCATTTGAAATGCATACTAAATGTATCTACTGACCTGGCTTCGAACATTCTGTATCACCACAAGATAGTCACGTGACCCTGGATCCATGCTGACGCCGTTAACCAATGGCATTACATTGGCCTGTCCAAATTATTCTCTGGCAGCAGAGAGGTATTTGCAACAAGCTTCACTCACTCGTGTTTTAATCATCATGTCATACTATTAAAATAATCATAATAATAGACTAAAGTATGATAACAAGTCCTCAGAACCTTGTGACTGAAATATATTTCGTTGCACTGAAATGAAATAATAATCTAAATATCTTTTCTGGTCTGTGAAAATGCTTGTTGAATAACAGGCTACTTTTGATCTGTCTGAAGGTTTTACAGGTAACAATATCGTGCACTCATATCGACAGTACCCAACTGTCCCCAGTCTTCACCTTGCGAAGGATTGTATAGGATAAATGATCTGATTTTAATTAGATTGCACCTTCCCATTTCTTGAATACAATAGGGCGGTGGGGTAGCCTAGTGGTTAAAGCGTTGGCTCGTCACGCCGAAGACCCGGGTTCGATTCCCTACATGGGTACAATGTGTGAAGCCCATTTCTGGTGTCCCCCCGCCGTGATATTGCTGGAATATTGCTAAAAGCGGCGTAAAACTAAACTCAGGCAGTCTTTAACACAATTCTGAAACAAAATTGAAAGAAGCACCCCACATATGTCTCTCCTGTGCCGTTACTGTATGTATTTTCATTCCAAGCCCGGAGACCTCAGTTTTCAAACGGGTTGGTTGGTTAGTTTGTTGTTTAATGCCGCACTCAGCAATATTCCAGCTATATGGCGGCGGTCTGTACATAATCGAGTATGGACCAGACAATCAACAGCATGAGCATCAATCTACGCAGTTGGGATAACATGACATGTGTCAACCACTTCAACGATGCTGACCACCCGATCCCATTAGTCGCCTCTTACACTCATGGTCCACTGAAGATCAGTTCTAACTCGGATCTTCACGGGTTTTTTTTTAAACAGGGGTGCATCTTGTGAGCTCATACATATATTGAGATAAGACATACATTAATACATATGAATTATTATGGACTCGTTACTCGACTCGATAACAGTCCCGTTTGCAAACGTTTCAAAATTGTGGCAATATTTACACGCATGACTCACTAATCACGAAACTAAATATCACTCAAAGATATGCACACATGCGAACATAGAGGCAGTATATATGTTACAGTCAGACTGTGAAATCAGTCATTTCGTGACATGACTTAGAGGGTCAGCCATTTCGCTGGATAATGGTATATCAGTTTCACTTAACTAAGTTTTGCCTATTAAGACCACTGACAACTAAAAGGGCTGCTGAAGTAGCGTTCCATTAGTTGACATTTTCTTGACGATAGGTGCCCTAGTGATCCTCCAATCTGATAATGGATCAGAGTTCGCGTCTCATGTCATTAAAGATATTCAACACGTCTGGCCAGAACTAGCAAGGATCAGTTGAAAGGGCAAATGGCGACATAAAAGACATGCTGGTAGTGTGGATGAGTGATAACAAAACTAAAGACTGGCGACATCTTATTCATTTCACGAAATGACTGAAATTTTTAGTTATTTCACGAAATGACTTATTTCACAATCTGACTGTAACATATATATACCTGTGACTCGCTAATCAAGTAGGCCCACATTCCTGCATGATAAGCTGACTTGTGAAATAGAAGGGTTATTTGCTGTAACTCGTTCATCCAGCCCCAATGATGACCTGGGTAAGAATCGGTCTTCAGCGACTCTTGATGGTCGCACGAGGTGAACATGATGGTCAGGCTGTCAACCTCGTTTATGCAGGCCATTGTGTCCATGTTGGGTAAACCGCTGCCCGTTGTGTCACTCACTAAAGTGACAGATTCTAACACTTTGTCTAACGCCCCACTCAGCAATATTCCAGCTAAACAGCGGCGGCCTATCAATAATCTATATTGCAGATTTCTTCATGCGCCTTTTCCACGTCAGCAGATATGCTCAAGGCGCAACAATGACAGATTAAAAGAGTCTCCCACATTTATACAGCAATATGTACACGTCCAAATAGAGTTCCTAATAATACATTGAAAACAGGTATGTTTTGAGTCCTGACTTGAATGTGGCAATACTCTCAGAAACTTTCAGGTTGTATAGGAGTGAATTCCACAAGGTTGGGGCTGCATATGAAAAAGTCCGGTTTCCAAAAGTTTTAAGCCTGAAGTTTGGCACAAACAGAAGCTCTTGATTGGATGATCGAAGGCAGCGTTTGTTTGAGTAAGGAGTAAGCAGGTCAGAGAGATATGGGGGAGCAAGTCCGTGACGGGCCATGTAGGTCAAGCAGAGGATTTTGTAGCTGCTTCTTGCCTTGATGGGGAGCCAGTGCAACTGTTTAAGAACAGGTGTGATGTGGCCATGTTTGGGAAAACGACTGATAATATGTGCGGCCGTGTTCTGCACCTTCTGTAACTTATCCAATAGCCTCTGACTGATCCCAAACAACAAGCTGTTGCAGTAGTCGAGCCTTGAAGTCACAAGGACTAAGGCATGGGTGGCTTCAGCTGTAAGGTATTGACGGATGTTGCTGATGGAGCGAAGATGGAAATAGCAAGTCTTACAGATGTTGTTCACCTGTGTTTCCATTGACAGTGATGTATCAAAGTATATGCCTATATCTTTGACAGATGAGGTAATAGGAACAACTGCATCGGCGATGGTTAAGTTATTAATGGGACATCTTGAAATTTGGTGACTTGTTCCTACCAGAAGTGCCTCAGTCTTCGTGTCATTGAGTTTAAGCATATGAGTTGTCATCCAGGACTTGATTTCCCTTGTGCAGTGTGTGAGTTCTTGAAGTGACTGATTTAGATTTTGCAGTGGTATTTTCTTGAGGAGTTGGGTGTCATCTGCGTAAGAGTGATGCGACATGTTGTGGACTGATGTGATGTTGGCAACATGACCAGTATACAGCAGGAACAGCAACGGGCCCAAAACAGATCCCTGTGGTACTCCATGATTGAGAGTAATGCTGTCAGATCTTCCCTATCATTACACACTGCCGTCTGTCACAGAGATAGGAGCTTATCCAGTTCAGTACTATGCCATCAATTCCGTACTGGGTTTTCAGCAGATTCACGAATTTTGTCAATCTTGTTGACGAAGAATTCATTTATTGAATCTGCCATATTTTTGTTGTCCTTTTCAACTTCATCATTCGGTGGATGTTCACGCAGCTGCCTGATAAACTTATAAAGACGAGCTGGTTTGCCTGCACAGTTCTCTATCTACTGCAAGCAATAACCCCGTTTAGCTTTAGCAATTACAGAGGTAGTTTGATTTCTGCTAGCGCGAAATATCTGCCTATGAACCTCCAGTATCATGAGCATCGATCAATTGGGATACGATGACATATGTCAAACAAGTTGGCGAGCTTGACCACCCGATCCCATTAGTTGCTTCATATGACAAGAATGGGTTGCTGAAGAACAGTTCTAACCTGGATCATCACGGGTCCTGGGCAAGGGTCACCCTGACTTACAAGGTGTTATTGGTAGCAAGTGACAATATGTTTTATGAGTGTCAATATTTGAAGGTTATCAATGATTTTGATGACACGAAATGCATGACTTTAAAGATACACACGAAATGACATGGCAGTCATATTGATCCAGTTAGTCGCCTCTAACAACAAGCATGGGTTATTGAAGACCATTCTAACCCGGATCTGCACGGGCTGGTTCAAACTCTATTTACAGACTGACGTTACATGGGTGGAATATCGAGGACGGAGTGAAATAGGAGACAAACGTTTATCCGGAAATGTGTTTTTTCTGATTATAATTATTATTGTAACGTTCCCGTCCAGATTACCGGAGTTTCACTGTAACAGAATATAACAACGCAACGACGAGGCATAGCTCAACAATTACCTTCTCCTCAGGCTGTTGCTCGGTATCTGTAATACTCGTACACGAGTAACAAAAGAAAACTTGATATTCTATCAAAGAAAACCAATACCAAATTACAGGTACACATTTTATTGTGATGCGCAGAGCTATGTAACAATGCCAACATCAGCACAAAATAGATTTTGTTAGAAATAATTAGTTATCACATGGTTAACGTTCAGTGCTCTTACAAAATGTTTATACAGTATGAAACAAATGCCAAAGATAAAACCACAGAGGTGTTCTTTTTAAGAAACACACTTGAAATTGACAAACCGCATTATAAAAAATATTAGTTTCTTTACTCGGTGTCATGTTAAAGCATGTAATAGCACAACTACAATATATAGCAGTAAACTTATCCAGCACCGTCACCTCGAACAAGCTGTACAAAACCAGAAGAAAAGAAGACAGGTTTAGGTGAGTGACAACTCCTGTGGACTGGAGGTGCCTGATTGTAGCCATGTATCTTCAGGCTTATCCTTCTGTCCAAATAACACAGACATAACAAGCATTTCATGCTTCATACGTCTTAACATGGACAAGGATTAAAAATGTTGAAATTACGAAAACAGTAAGCATAGAACTCTGGGAAAATGAACAGAGAAGCAGAAAGAATCCTAAGGCTGGTATCTATTTGATTCCCCAGTAGGCGATATTCCTGTTGCAAGTCAGATAAACGAACATGTTCGGACATTATTAATAAAGTCATTCCTATTTCAACGAAACCTTTACTGAAGGACTACAACTGAATATCTTCTTTCTCTATAACATAATTATTTGTCGCGTGTTCTGAGTATTGTGTATTTTATTGAAAATAAGTATTAGATTCTTGGTTAATATGGGTATTATACAAGTAAGATAATAAAAATGACCACTAAAATATGTATCCAAGACAGCGCTGAAGACGTTCTGATTTCATGTAATGCAATGAAGATTAAAATTACGAGAAGACATGAAAGATATTTTACTGGCAAAGTAAATGTCTGCTCGGCTGACATAATACTTTAAGCAAGCTAAAGACTTCCCATAATATCTCACAAATAAGCGTATTGTAGTTGTCAGTGGTAGATATGTACAAAAGCCTTGTTGTAACTATATACGTATGCAGTTACCTTTTGCACAGCACAAAATTGACATACACGACGGAATGTGTAGAAATTACTTGAGTTGATGGCAGAATATTAATCAGATATATACTAAGGAGGCATCCGAGCTATAAACGTGTTTCTGACCGAATTAAGATAGTTTAAATATCAAAATTAATGTCAATATCGACTGTCAAGCGTACAAATACAAAAGTAAATAAAGGTAACCTTAATCCCTTAACCGATTTTAATAATTATTGTTTCTGTCTCAACAAATGCTATAAATGAAAACTAAAAGCTTCGTCACATCTATCATGACGTCATTTTAACTAACATAACGAGGCCTTCCGGTAATCCCAATCTGAAATCCGAAGATTCTTACATTCAATATTTACCATCAATGCATCTTAGAAGGTTTGTCTTCTGTAATTAAAACAGGGTCGACAAACAAATACGTAAATGTTCCGTCGGCAGGATGAAAGATAAAAAAGACATTACATTCACACAGGCTCATTCTAAGAAACAAATTACTGCATTTCCCCTAATAGACGCCCCAACATGTATGTTGTCGGACACTCTTATCCCTAGAGTTTTGGAGACCCGGTTCTGATGTCATGACATGAAGCTAGGGACCACTTATGACATGGAGGCTGGAAGAGCCATCACCGACACATTAGACCCGTGATTTATTGGATCACAGGAAACGAGAGTCATTCATAATAAGATTTCTGAGATGTTACCGATTTTCTAAGCATGTCCTATGTTATACCCTCTCTTACAAACTGTTTTGGTCGCGTTTCTTTTCAACCTAAAGAGACGTCTCTTAATACCAAAAGGGTGTCCGTTGTATTCTGGCGTTTATTAGAAACCATGCAGTATACACATAACTAACTAGAGACAGGTAAAACATCAACAACCGGTATACCTGGGCGTGTTACACAAACACGCCTTCTCGTTTCAATATTTGACACCGACCTTTGTCTGCCAAAGCACAACCACTAGTCACCTACAATTTGTACATTGTAGTAATATGTATTGACATTTTAATCGTAAAAAGCAAACACCAAAAGCTACATAAAATAGACATGGCTTATCTTTTGAATATAGCACTCTCATAGTTTTACCTGGACAAAATTCGTACCGTTCATTTATTGTGTTGAAAATCAGACAAATACATTGTGTACAAGATATCGCACCAAGGATGCTCGTGGACTGTGTATTCTTTGCGCACCCAGTACACACATCTAAGCATTTACCAACACTAAAGTATTGTTTTAGCGATTCCTTGTTCTTAGGAATGCAGTGCAAGCTCATCATCACGAACACCTGGTGTTATGACTGACTTTCAGTGATTCCCTTCATTAAATTGCCATCCCTCTTTTGACTTGGAATCCCTGGCTGGAGATAATCGAGACTAGTTACTCTCTCGTGTTGACGGGTAATATTGTATCGCTGGTCTTCGAATTTCTCCATTTCTGTCAAAGACATTCGCTTGAAACACCATTCAGAAAATAGGTCCAAACCAATTCTATCATATGATCTGGATAGTCTTGCCATTTACGGAACAAATACAAAAAGCGAGGGGTCACCATATAAAACCAGCATGAACGATAATTTACATGGGGTAATTGCAATCACGATCATGAAGATGACGTCGTAACATTTCATGACTTCGTGAATGCGAAATATATAAAAAGTGACAGTAAAAATTGTATGTCATGTACTGCTTACGAGATCAATGCTTGATGTAAATATGTTATCCTATGAACAGAACAACGGTAGGAGTTAACTAATTAAGCCAAAACGAGACACAGGACTAAGAACACAGACACCACTTCAAACAAGTTATAGAACACATGATCTCTTCATTTGATAGCGACACACCGGCTTGTGCTTGTTCTCTAACTTGTTTCGAGTAGTATCAAAAATATAAGGATGAAAGGAAGTGTTTTGTCTGCCATCTGCAGTTCGGACTTCATTTAGCACAAATCAAATAGAAATACGTGACATAGACACGAACTTTGGCTAATAAAGTAGGCTAATAACTAAAATCAAAGCCCTTGAAGTAAGTACAGAGAATGTAATTGCAATAAGTTAACACAAAACACAACGTAAACACAGGTTCAGGGCCGATGATTTCATCATTGATTTTAGAACGTTGATTGCCCAACATGAAAGGAGCTCTTGTAAATACAGCTTACTAAAAGTACTTGTGTCGTAGCTATGATTCCAGATATATTGCATTTACTAAAGGCCAATATACCCGCTAATCTCTAATAGGTAGACATGGGACTCTGCACTGGAGAATATATATCTACACAAAGCCATGAATCCAGACATACGACACATGTATAACTAGCTGTTGGTCATTGTCTTATATTAGCTTAAATTTGTTATGGCTTATAAGGTCATTACTTTTAACCAAATTCACATTTTGTATTTCAAAAGTTTCAAACATCGGCTTTTAACCAAACCAGACTAAATAAATTATTGCTAGTATGCATTCATACTATTTTTGGCGGGTCACGTACAGAGAAAGAGAGAGGGGGGTAGAAACACAGCTTATCCAACTTGAAACTGGAAAATAACACTTGGCCAAAACCTAACAATGTGACAATTTGGGCAGGATCGATTCTGGCATCTGACAACTGATGGAAACCTCTGTATCCGGTTTGTGCGTACAAATCGTACACGTATCATAACGTAGATAGTTTATTAAGTCATTTTCATAGCATCTTTTCTTGTTACTGTGCATTGCCTCGTAGAATTATATAAATGCCAGTGTCAGTGATCTCAATGGAATGGAAGAGCTCTCTTCTCGATTCGTTCATGTTTCGTTAAAGCTGAGATAAATGCTACGGTGTAATGATAAAGCTCAATTACTAGGATGAAATACTTATGGGCCATGTACCCGTGATGGAAGACGGTATTCCGTAAGCACAGTATTCTGACGTCGTGGATCCAGGGATAAGGGAGCTAACTCTGGTTGTTTCATACTAGCAATGATAGCATTATTGAACACGCCAGGCCAGCGAGCGAAGTCACGTGCAAACTCATTTTTGACGACGTGCCAGACCCTGCTGCTGAAAAGAAAAAAAGTCGATGAATAAGAAAAATTAAAATTCATAATGACCGTTGAAATGACTTTCGAAAGTCTTGTACTCGTTCAACATCGTCAAGAGGTTCTTCGTGACTGAATTATATACACGAAATATTATTGTTAGCAACGTCTTCTGTACATTACCTCTTGAATATATTACACTATTTCTCGGAGTGAGTGCCATGTCAATGTAACAGTATGTTGCCTGCTAATTAGCAAGACTTTCCGGATGTGTTTTAAATGTTTTAGCATAGACATCTGTATCGAGTCTTGAAGGGAAAATATTTCGGACACATCAGTAAGTCACTTTAACTCCTTCGCTTCTGACATTTATATTGCACACAAAACATTTTGTTTAAACTCTAATAAGGACGACCACTAATTATTCCAGCGGCTTTGGTCTTTCTAGCAGGCTGTTGCTACAGATATATCTGTAAAATACTAAATCCTGACCCATATAATATTTCCCCAGAGGACAGTGTATTGGAAGGGAGCCGAATTACAAACCTGCCCTTAAGATTGAGAAAGACGTTAGCAAATATCACTTAACCTGTTTGTAACGTTAAAATAGACTATAATGAGTGAGTGAGTGAGTTTAGTTCTACGCCGCACTCAGCAATATTCCAGCTATATGGCGGCGGTCTGTAAATTATCGAGTCTGGACCAGACCATCCAGTGATCAACAGCACGAGCATTGATCTACACAATTGGGATACGGCGACATGTGTCAACCAAGTCAGCGAGCCTGACCACCCGATACCGTTAGTCGCCTTTTATGACAAGCATGGGCTACTGAAGATCAATTCTAGCCAGGATCTTCACGGGTCTATAGACTATAAGTTGAAGACAAGGAACATGAGCTAATAAAATATATACTTATGAATAATTCAACAATCAATTTGCAATTATCGTTTTAAAATTGTTTGCCATTCTCGCAGTATGGCATACAAAGCCATGATCTAGGCAATGATCTAGCCATGATCTAGGCAATAATCTAGCCATGATCTGGGCAATGATTTAGCCATGATCTAGGCAGTGCCTAGAACCATCACCTAGATGTCAGCCGACATCAAAGGAGTATTTGTTACCAATTCGTGTTAAAGACATTTCAGACTTTCAGTCATGAAGTGCAAACTGAATCACTTACGTGCTGAACTGGCCTCCTTTGACACCTTCGTTGCACGTGGACAGTGCGTTTTAAACTGCGACACCGTGCACTTGATATTTAGATCACCTGAAACCATTAATGGACAATTTGACAGCTGATACCACATGTTACAAAGAACAACACGTTATCTGTCACGGAATTCAAACTTATTTGACTTAACCTGTCACTGTGTTGATTTTCAAACCTCTCACACCTTTTACTGAACTTTTAAAACGTCAGCGAAACGTGGTGTATGACGAAAACGACTGGCCGCCTTCGCGATTTACAGAACGCTCCGACCAACGGGCGAGATCGGGACTCTCTCCGCCATTCACGAAGATCTCTTATGCTTCTGACACTGACTGATACAGATATTCTTAATTAATATCTTCAATTAATTAGAGACCGCCTCCGTGGTGTAGTGGTTAGAGCGTCCGCCCGTAGAGCGGAAGGTCGCGGGTTCGATCCCCGACCGCGTCAAACCAAAAGACGTTAAAATATGGTACTTGTTGGTCCCTGCCTGGCGCTCGGCATTAATGGGTACAACAAGGACTGGTCGGCTCGGAGTCAGTATAATGTGTCTGAGTGGGGTATTCATGCTTCACTGCGGCATGGTCTCTCAGTGGGCTAGCACTATAAAACCAGCTTCAGTCTGGGCTAGTACAAGCAGCCGCACATACACATACACACGCATGCATCGTCGTCATATGAGCGAAATATTCTCAAGCACGACGTTAAACCCAATTTCACCTCACCTCACCTCAATTAATTAGATGTTTGTCTTCCCCTGCTATCTACGGATGAACAATTGACACGCGTTTGCATGTGTTTGTGACAGGTCACATCAGTAGGGTAGATACCCTCAGCCGGTGGCATCACCATTTGCAAGTAGATGAAAACCCCAAGCGTACGATGTGGTCCGAATCGTACAACAGGCTCTGCGTTTAGTTGATATATTTTACGATTGTGGAAATGGCTTTGTCTTATAATGTCGCGGCGTCATAGTCGCCCGAATTATTGTGGTCTGGAATTGATCAAGTCTTGGTCTGGATAACCAGAGTCTGAGAACATTTCAACCAGTCACCCCATAGGGACGCGGTCACATTACATCTGGCAAGTCAGAGAGCCGACGCGTCCCGATGTCGTATCTGGTGACCTATCCTTATCCGGATCACCTTGGAGTTAATTGGAAACTGTCTGCGTGTTAATTGATGATTTTGTTCTTCAAAGAATATCCTTAAGATGACAAGTACTGAGTAGGTTTTAAGATAAAATGGAACTGGTTCATCAAACTGTTAACTGGAGTCTTACCTATGTATCGATTTATTCTGTCATCAAGAGAATCAATGCATTTGGGCGATAAATGGTGATTGTTGATACAATTGTTGGTCTGACTGAATACCCTGTGAACAACAAACATGAGTTAGGTTGGTTGGTTGGCAGGTTGGTTGGCAGGTTGGTTGTTGTTTAACACCGCACTCAGCAATATTTGAGCTATATGGCGGCGGTCTGTAAATAATCGAGTCTGGATCAGACAGTCCAGTGATCAACAGCATGAGCAATTGGGATACAATGACATGTGTCAACCTCGTAAGCGAGTCTGACCATCCGATCCCGTTAGCCGCCTCTTACGACAAGCATGGGTTACTGGAGATCAATTCTAACCCGGGTCTTCACGGGTCGTTAGTTAGGTACTATCAGGGCGTTCCAGCTTTATGACAGGAAGATTCGTCCCCCTGTCGCTGAACATTACATACCTCGGTCAACATATCCCACATGAATATATTTGTATATTTTTACACACGTCCTGTATGAAAACATATACCAAGATACAGTTAGCTGCGTTCAACCATACTTGCGTCCACTTACGTCCGATGTCGTTCAAAAAGCTTGTCCTCTAAATGTGAAATATGACGGAAATAAACGTGAGTCAATGCCCAAAATAATCCCACGAGTTGACAGTTCTGTCAGCTATGGCCGTTTGCACTTGCAGTCAGTTACATGGCCTCGGGAGTGTCGCTAGTCGCTATTCGGCTTGTCCCGGAACAACACGAGCTGGTCAGGAATGCTAATTAATGATATCTCAGTGATCATAATCGGGGATATCTGGGATTAATAAGCGGATCCTGGCACTACATTGTGAATGCTCCTGCGTGTACATTCACTGCTGTCTCAGTGTCATAGCCACTGTTTGTAGGGTCATTACAGGGTGGTCTAAAACTCCAGATAGACTTTAACAAGAGCCCGCGGGCCAGACACATCCCACATCCTTCACAATGGGAGGGACGGTGGTGGGGTAGCCTAGTGATTAAAGCGTTTGCTCGTCACGCCGAAGACCCTATTCGAATCCCCACATGGGTACAGTGTGTGAAGCCCACTTCTGGTGTCCCCAGCCTTGATATTGCTGGAAAAGTGCTAAACGCAGCGTAAAACTAAACTCACTCACAAATAAAGGCCCCTTACGCAGCTGCAAAACCTGAACGAGTATGTTACCGAACACATTTATACGTCGTCCACTCACGTGCAGTTCAGTAGATCCAGCCTGCACGTCCTGGATGCATCCAGTTCCGGTTTCTTACTGCCATGCGCCATGGCGAACTCCAGAAGACATTTGTTGAGATTCTGAATCTCCGACGCCACACAAGTCTGCTCCTGCTCACGGGTAACTGAAGAGAATGCGTGCGCAAGTTAGGATCTTAGTGATTTCGGAAGTGTTTCCGTCATTACGTGACTGAAGGAGAGTTATGAAGTTAACATATGATTTGCTTGGTTAATCAACGCAGTACTCAGTAAGGGACCGTTCATAATTTATGGCATGATGATGAATTTAAGGTAGGGGGGTGGGGAATTAGTCATCCATTTTGTTTCGTTCAGGGTCAGGTGGAGGGTGGGGGTGATTGATACTATGAACACCGCTCCAGGTTGTCGGGGTTACGACGAACAATCAGCCACGTCGCCAAACCTAACAAACCGATACATGTCGCCGCCTCGGAAGACAAGCAACTGGTAACCCGGAATCTAGACGTGAGTACAACATGTCACTGGCTCCATGCATAGCATTAATCACTGTCGTCACAATATCTTTGAAGCATAAAGTATAACTCGTTACATGATGCAACACAAAAATACTTTCAGATGTTTCTCACACAGAGATAAATGGTATACAGCAGTCCAGCATCGTCCTTTAAAGTGCTGTAAAAATTGGGTTGACTAAAACGGACTATAATTCCAAAAGGTGGCCAAGATGTCTAGCGACATCCTCCTTTCCACTAACTGTCCAAGGTACTGCTACCACAGCAACACATGCGCACAGTGTGGGAATCTCATTTCCGGCATCTCCCGCCATGACGGTGCTGAAACATTGCTGAAACCGGCGTATAACTATGCTCACAATATCTTCTGAAATATTATTGCAATATTTTTTAACTTTTTATAGATTTGTCATTCGTCTGGTACTATAATATACAAAATGAAATTACGGGCTGAACTGGCTTCTTTGGAGACTTTGGTGGCCGTTGGACAGTGGGTATTGAAATGTCGCACGGTGCAGTTGATTTGAAGATTAGCTGAAACAGATATTGGACGGACGTCAATAGGTTCCTGTAATAATGGTGACTATAAATTATAATAGAAAGTGTTTGCAAGAAAGATGACATAAATTTGAAAATCTTATTTAGAATTCTGTGACTTTAAAAGGCTATAGAGGTTTTCAGTTACAGTTTCAGATAAATATATCATAAATATACCGCCTGTTTATTTCTGAATTTAATGGTGTCACTCTGGTAGAATATTATCCTATCTTGTTAGGGGAGAAGAGGGGGAAATAATTAAATAAAGAGGAAAACAACTCGGAGTACTTTATACATATGACTAGGCTTACCAAAGAAGTACCATTAGGGAAGGATAACAATATATGTTACGGTGTAGGTTCCAACACCGTTATCAAGCATCATTTGATGACGTCACTCTCACCGCAATAAAGACGTTGTTCAACCATATAGTGTTATCCTTCCTTACTGCTCCTACCTCTAAATGCCTCTCAAAGAAGCACAATTAGGTTTTCATAATTAACAGATGGAATCTGAAATACACTGGAGCATTGTTACGTTCGAGCATGGTTCCGAGTATGACACAAAATTGTCAGACAAAAAGAATTATATGAGTCTACACCGTCAACCAACTAACGTACTGGGGATGTTGAAGCCAGCATACCAGCACCAGGTAATAGGTTCACTTGAAGTGGAACACTTTTTATGGATAGACAACTTCTTTGTTGCAGTAGTAGTTGCGACGTTTCGGTGTAGATCCCAACACCGTTATCAAGCAAATGATACACAACATTTGCACAAGGAGAAATATATACATGGCGGGTATTGGTTTATAAAATAGAAGAGGTTGATGTACGGTGTGTTGACATGAGACTTGTTGTGATAGGAATGATTGAAGCCAGTAGATAAAGGGTGGGTTATTCTTGATTAGGCTTGATTAGTTGATCGTAAGCCGTGGGGATGTAATAACCTTGATCTCTGTTGATTGCCGGGTTGAGTCGTTTGATGTTGATTGCCTCTAAGAGTTTTCTTATCTTGTAATTTGACCGGTTGGCTTCTAGGATGCTGATGTTGTTCCAAAGTATGGTATGGTTCGGGTGGGCTTGGGTGTGGTCGGAAATGGCTGATTTGGAGTCTTTTTTCTTTACAGATGTCTGCTGTTCCTTGATTCGTAGGTTTAGGGGGCGGCACGTTTCTCCTATGTATGAGTCACCACAGTCGCATTGAATGTGGTAGACAATGCCTGAAGGGTCTACTTTGTTGCTTGTAGGTGGTTTACCGTTGGCTTGTAGGATAAGCTGAGTTGATGTGCCTCTCTGGATCACAACATCTATGTTGGCTTGCTTCTTAAGTAGTCTCCGGATATGGTGGCTGATTGTATCGAGGTATGGTATACTGATGATGAACGGGACTGATTGTTGACGTGGTGGTTTGTCTTTTGGGTTGACTGTGGTGTTGATGGTTCTGTTGACTAGGTTAGCTGGATACTCGTTAAGGTTTATGAAGACATGGCGAAGGTGTTCTAACTCGACTTCAAGGGCTTGGGTTGTGGAGCTGATGTTCTTTGCTCTTCTGTCTAGGGTGGCGATTATACCTCTCTTGACTTGTGACACTTGTGAAATTCACAATGGAAGAAGAATCCGACAACAAGCTACCATTCCTAGAGGTCCAAGTAGAAAAAGGCAACAACAAACTCCACACAAGTGTCTATAGGAAACCAACCCACACGGACCAATATCTTCACTTTTCATCTAATCACCCACTACAAGTCAAGAGAGGTATAATCGCCACCCTAGACAGAAGAGCAATGAACATCAGCTCCACAACCCAAGCCCTTGAAGTCGAGTTAGAACGCCATGTCTTCATAAACCTTAACGATTATCCAGCTAACCTAGTCAACAGAACCAACAAAGAAGTTGTCTATCCATAAAAAGTGTTCCACTTGATCATACCAGCTTCTAAATGCCACTTAAAGAAGAAATAGGTTCACTTGCTTCATAACGGTGTCAGAACCTACACCGAAACCTCGCTCTCATAGCAATAAAGAAGTTGTGCATCCATATTTTGTTATCCTTCCTTACCAGGTAATAGGGTAAAACTGAATTAATAAACTCGTGTCTGTGAATATAGTTTTGTCTTACCTATGTATTTATTTATCATATCTTCAAGAGAGTCGATACACTTGTCCGAGGGACGATGTTTGTTGATGCATGTGTTGGTCTCGCTAAGAACTCTGTAAACAGTCAATGCATATGCTTAGCAATAAAAGTGAGTGAGTGAGTTTGGTTTACGGTTTTTGTAACAGTATTCAACCTGGTTTCGAACAACAATTCAAGGTTTCCAGCGTCCAGAAGGGACCGAAGTTAGCTCGCCTTAGACGGCTGCGCAATTCGTGACCCCGATTATTAACAGTGTGTAACACACAAGACTCTTGTGAGTCAGAACAAGACAATCCAGTGATCAACAGCATGAACATCGATCTACGCAATACAGATACGATGACATATGTCAACCAAGTCAGCAAGCCTGACCACCCGATCCCGTTAGTCGCCTCTTACGACAAGCATGGGTTGCTGAAGACCAATAATAACTACACTTAATGAACGGCTAATTGCGTATCATCGTAAAAGTATATATGATGGATCGAGTGTTCGCCGGTTTGAACATCATTTCAGCCATATCACGGCGTGTTAAGCTGACGAGGGGCGACTTTGGTGGGGGTGTTGCTATCGACATACCTAGAAACATTATCAGGTTGATCCAAAATTCGAACCCCGTTCACATTTTTCTTGCCCACCCATTTCTACACGTAAATTCGCAAGTCCTCGTGATATTTTTACAAACTTGGTTGTGAGGTGGTCCAGAAATGTCTTTCATACAGCTCTCTGAAGGATGTATTGAAGAGGAAAATGAAACAAATATGTGCTGCCACCATTAATGACAACAAGCAATGTAAAGCTTTGGGACAATTTCCGAGATGTTCACCAACGATGACGACAAACATAGCAATGACGTCGGGCGACGGACACCCAGACCTTCATATAAGCTCATTGACGTTTGGTCATGTGATGTAATAAGTATTTTTGGAAAACATACTTTAGGGCAGCATTTATATTTTTTGTGTTTCTCATCTCCCGACAGACCCGACCCGAAAAAATGCTGCCCTTACAGAAATGTTGTGGCCAACTCTTTATATCAGGCCATGTCAATACTCACGAACAGTTGACCAACTCCACTTTGCATGTTTTTGACGCAACCAGGGCAGACCGGTGATGTTGGTGTGCAACGACGAAGTCGAGGAGACAGTTGTTGATGTCGATAGATTCGTAGGTACGGCACGCTTCCTCAGCTCCGCTCGCAGCTCCAGCTGCAAGATACAAAAAAAAAGGAAAGTAAACACCATCGTTGTTCTACTCCGAGGGATTCTATTTTAGATTCATCAGAAACTAAAAAATTGTTCAAATAAATAATTCACAATAACATAGAGCTGCTTGTGTAATGTGGTTAAACCTGCTTCACTTTTATGCGTTTAACAACAAAAATCAATGGTAGTGTTTGCTTACATGCACAAGCAATGAAAATGTCGTTAATCGTATCTTGGCTAAGATTCTTCCAGAAATGTGGAAACAGGAACCTTGGTTTGAGGATACTATCCTCTGACATTAAGTCAGTGAGTTTAGTGCCTACGACATAGCACTTTGATGGGGTATAGGTTTGATCGGGAAATATAGACATGTTTGTATATTCTCTGAGTTAAGTTAAAGTTGTGTTATCTAAATCTAAATCAGAGTGCTGACAATATAAATGAAATATCAGCAGCTTATTATCATGACCATCAGCACAGCCATGTACAGGTCAGCTGCCTGCGTGTAATTAACCCTAATTAACTTTAGAGTATGGCCGGTTGGCCACGGAAGTTTAACATTGTGGATGAGGTGCATGCTGGATACTGCAGGTTGACCATACATGTATCGTAATACGATACAGGGCAGCCTGACAGTCAGTAGTATATAGACAATGAATTCTTAATGTAACGGGACTAGACCCTCGGACAGCGGCTAGGCAGGTGGGCTTACGATCGCCTCTGTGATGCTGCCTGGCCGTTGCTGCACTATCATGTTATTGCAAACTTAGCTGCCAAATAAAGTGTTGTGGACCCACTGATGGTCTTCTGTGTTTGAAGAGACAATGTAGTTTATCGCATCTTGGCTAAGATTCTACAAGATATTTGGAAACACTAGCCTTGGTTGTTTGATTTGAGGATATGATCGTGTGACATTAAGTGAGTGAGTTTAGTTTTACGCCGCTGTTAGCAATATTCCAGTGATATCACGGGGTTGTTTCAGAAGTAGCAGTCAGCCATGTAATTGCAAAACACTTCCCCATTCAGAAAACTACTTGATCGTATATGATTTCTTTATATTGTTTTCCCCATATGGGTACAGTGTGTGAAGCCCATTTCTGGTGTCCCCCGCCGTAATATTGCTGTCATATTGCTAAAAGCGGCGTAAAAAATTCAATCACTGACTTTATATTATTTTTAATATGTGCAGATGGCGTATGGCGTGTCGCTATGCAGTGCTGTGACTTTAGATACGAATGACATCACTGGCCCGCTGTTTCAGCGTTGTTCATCGCTGAGATACACGCCTCTTGTGTCATTATTGACGAATTTTTGTTTCCCAAAATCATATGAAGACGTTGATCTTGCTATTCATCATTTGTGTACATGGTTCTAAGAATTGTGTACATTATTTAAAAGGTTATTTACAGGTTGCATGATATAACTGGAAAACTGCTTACTGCGGCGTAAAACAACCAACAAACGGCGACATTCTATCAATATTGAATCATCTATCAATACATGACCACTGCTACTTGTGTTCGCTTGCATGTTATATACACTGAGTCAATATAAACAATGTTATAAAGTGTTTCCGTGGTCGCCATGTCAAAATGTGTATTAGGTTCTGCTGTGGACATCGATCAATGGACTTCCTGGTCACCAAGATGTTGTTACCCTGGCAACATGGTCCACTCTAAATTTGGCTTGAACCCCGTAAACAATAACTCTAAAGTACAAATGAAAACAATACTCCCAAGGGTAAGTGAGTGAGCGAGTATGCTTTTACGCCGCTTTGGGCAATATTCCAGCAATATCACGGCAGGGGACACCAGAAATGGGCTTCACACATTCTACCCATGTAGGGAATCGGACCCGGGACTCTTTAACCACTAGGCTACCCCACCGCCCCTCCCAGGGTAAGACTATACCCACTAGGGTATACAGCTAAATTTTAAACACTCGGTTTAAATGTCATGATAAACAAGAAAATACAGACATAATTAACAGAAGTTTCAACACCAGAAAACAGCATATCGTATGGTGATAGGGTCTTGTAATGTCTAATTAATTCACAATACGCAAAAAGCATATTAATGTTATTTTACATAACATTCTTAAAGAATATAAAATTCCACAAGGATACAGGATATGAATACACAATGGGCAAATGTAACATACGTTGCATTTGGGATTACACTTTCTAAGTAAAATACAGATTCTAATCTTTTGTTAGGTTGAGTCCGGTCCGGGATTCGAACCCACACTCTCAGCTGCGTTGGCTGAGTGGGTTAGACTGCTGACTTTGTGTGCTGGCGATTCGGTGCCTGACTCTGGTCATGTGAAAGAAGCTATGAGAGCGGTCGTTCTTGGTTAGACTTATACTTAGGCCTAGTCTGTCTCACAGTCCCTGAACCACATTATTTTCCCCATTGCCTAACCCTCCCTGCAATGCTAAAGCCCTAAATGAAGCAAGTCTAGATTTCCTCCGGTTCAGGATCTCCCATCTCACTGGGGCTCCTTTTCTATTTAAATGGGATTATTTGTTACTATCAAAATTATACATAATAAGAGACCCATTTAGACTAACTTAGGCCAAATGTGTAAAATATATCCCTAATAATATGATACACCTGGTCTTATCACCCACACAACATATTTTGACCATGTTGAACATCAGTGCTTGTCAACGTCCATTTGACCTGGGAGTTAATATTCATGCAGTTGGCCATTGGGTTAGTGCTTGTGTGGGTCAAGCAGTTTGTTTTTAGTAACCTGATACATTCTGTGGCTGGTTCCATATAGACATGAATTTCTGGAGGGCGGGTGGTGTCATACTAATTACTGGATAATACTTTTACTGCTGCTGAGAGATCCTAAAAGACAGGGACTTTCCTAGCATTAGGCCGAGGACTTACAAGGCAATTGTGTTTGAATCATCAATGTAAGTGTGAGCTGCATGTGTGTTCTGGTAACGTGGGCAATGTTTCCAACAAACGGACTGACGGAGCGACTCGATGCGCCATGATAGATCGTGGATGATGGGTTGGTGGAGAGTTGTGTGTTTGGTGACGATTTGGTCAGACCTTTAAAGTATTTAATGAGCGAGTAGGAACAAATCAAAATAGAACCAAAGAAAGTCATATATGTTTCGGTTAGTCCGGTCAGAGAAAAGGATGCACTCTCAACTCTGGCGTGATTCTGTAGCACTAATTACTACTTCACTTTCCCATGCCCTTTAGATTTACAACGCTGCAGAACTGTAGGTGTGAACACGTCTGGACAGTAAGTGCAAATACAACCCATGCGTCAAACATATCACTGTTTGAGTCGCGCATGTCAAACACCTCCGTCTGTTACCAATAACAAGAAGCTGAGCATAGAGAAATAGGTGCAAGCTAAAATGATTACAATGCATTAATTCAAAAAGCACCGTGAAGAGCGCAAATGTTCTGATGGTGACACGACGAGGCAGAGCTAGAAACCAGGACGCCAGACTAGTTTTTATTCCGGTATGAGACGGAGGATGACGGTGTTTTGAATACACACAGAAACGGCAGCCGTGAAGATCCATCTGGGTTATTCAAAAGAGATTTATTTTGCACCTTGCGCATCTGTCGTGAACACTCGTCAGTTTCCGTGCGTCTGCAGAGCCGATGAGCGCCGAATGTACTGATCTATAAAGACCTCATTCACAGCATCTGCGCCAAAATGAGTTTACATCAGCGGGATTGTGTCCCCATCAGCAATGGCTGCACGTGCATTTGAGACGTCACCGGTTTTTGTTCTATACTGCAGTCTGGCAATATGGCCGTGGAAAGATGTACCGACACCGTTGTTGAACATATTTCTCGGAAATAGAACATAGAGGATGTTCAGACCGTTGTTCAGCCCTAAAGCTAAAACGCAGATGTATATTGGCCCTCGGTTATATAAAGTAGTATCTAACCAAATTCAGATAACCCAAGTACCAATAACGCATGTCCCTGTTTCAATCAAAGAATACCGATATTTTTCCAAAAGGAAGATCAAACGACCATGCATTATGTCTAGCCAATATCACTGATGATGACGTCATGTGAGGATATAGCACAGTTAGGCTAAAATCACCATCAATATTGTTCATATCTGGAGGAAATATTTGGCGTTAATATTCAACTGGGAATCAGGTTTATTGGAGATAAAGGCGTGAAAATCATTCAAATAGGGCTTATACTAAACAGAGTGCAACATAAATCCGAGACGTCACCAGATACAATAAAATTAAATAGGAGAGCTCATATGAGACGGGGACTTTTTATTAGACAAATAACTGCTCCACGTCGGCATGCTGATCGGCGGACTCGGGAATGTTTTATGTTTAATCCCGGACCAATTCAAGGAAATGAACATTAAACGTGCCTAACTGCTTCTCGCGAGTTTGTGTTGCTGTCACGTTCCCCAGAACAATCCGTCTGCTATTTCTTTATATACTGAAGACAATTAGAAACGCCTCAAGCCTAGATTATACGGTATTTCAAAACTGTAAATTAAAACTTCCAACGTGATGTGCGACGGATTCAAGAATTTTACACTGTTGAAGACAAAATTATATTTATTTTATAGACACAAGTCATTAAAGACAGCTTACATTGATCATAGTGGTACCGTGTATGTAAACAAAATGTAAATGATAAAAGTAAACATGGTCATAAATATTCTCATCATATCATTGTTGTTGTTTTTGGTCGTTTCTATTAGGCATACGCGTCATTTATGTACAGACGGAAAAGCTGTGAAGGACTAACGCTATACATCGTTAACGCGAACTCAGTATCTTGGGTTATGATCAAAACCTTGATGTATAATCAAACGAAAGCGAAACTTTCTGGTTCCGACAGAAATCTGATCAAAGCTTTAGTCTAATTTCGGTTACCTTTACTTGACGTACTGATAACTCGACGGTCGATCTGACAAAGTGTTAACAATGTTCCATTGTAAACCTAAAGTTGAGGGACGGTGTCACCGTCAATGTCTTGCTACAT